GGCAGTATCGACATGTTAACAGTATTTGTTCTTCTAATCCATGAGCATGGAATATTCTTCCATTTTTTGTGTGTCTTCTTCAGTTTCTTTCATAAGTTTTCTATAGTTTCCAGTGTATAGATTTTTTTGTGTCTTTGGTTAGGTTTGTTCCTAGTTATTTTGTGGGTTTTGGTGCAATTGTAAATGGGATTGATTCCTTGATTTCTCCTTCAGTTGCTTCACTATTGGCGTATAGAAATACAACCGATTTCTGTGCACTGATTTTATATCCTGTGACTTTGCTGAATTCATGGGTCAGTTCTAGCAGTTTTTTGGTGGAACCTTGGGTTTTCCATGATAGAGTATCTTGTCATCCACAAAGAGTGAAAGCTTGACTTCCTCCTGGCTGATTTGGATGTCTTCTATTCCTTTGTGTTGTCTGATTGCTGAGGCTAAGACTTCCAATACTATGTTGAATAACAATGGTGAGAGTGGACATCCCTGACTTGTTCCTGAACTTAGGGGGAAAGCACTCAGTTTTTCCCCATGGAGGATGATATTAGTGATGGGTCTTTCATATATTGGTTTTATGCTCTTGAGGTATGATCCTTCTATCCCTACTTTCTTGGGGGTTTTTATCTAAATAGATGTTGTATTTTGTCAAATGCTCTCTCTGCATCTATTGAGAGGATCATGTGGTTCTTGTCCTTTCTTTTATTTTTTTTTATTTTTTTTTAATTTTTATTTTTGGGACAGAGAGAGACAGAGCATGAATGGGGGAGGGGCAGAGAGAGAGGGAGACACAGAATCGGAAACAGGCTCCAGGCTCCGAGCCATCAGCCCAGAGCCTGACGCGGGGCTCGAACTCATGGACCGCGAGATCGTGACTTGGCTGAAGTCGCACGCTCAACCGACTGCGGCACCCAGGCGCCCCTGTCCTTTCTTTTATTGATGTGATATGTCACATTGATTGTTTTGTGGATATTGAACCAGCCCTGCATCCCAGGTGTAAATTCCACTTGATCACGGTGAATAATTCTTTTATTGTGTTGTTGGATCCAGTTGGCTAGTATCTTGTTGAGGATTTTTGCATCCAGGTCCATCAGGGAAATTGGTCTATAGTTCTCCTTTTTAGTGGGGTCTTTGGTTTTGGAATAAAGGTAATGCTGACATCGTAGAAAAAGTTTGGAAGTTTTCCTTCCATTTCTGTTTTTTGGAACAACTTCAAGAGAATAGGTGTTAACTCTTCTTTAAATGTTTGGTAGAATTCCCCTGGAAAGCCATCTGGCCCTGGACTCTTGCTTTTTGAGAGGTTTCTGATTACTGATTCAATTTCTTTACTGATTATGGGTCTGTTCAAATTTTCGATTTCTTCCTTTTTCAGTTTTGGTAGCTTATATGTTTTTAGGAATTTCTCCACTTCTTCCAGATCACCCATTTTATTGGCATATAATTGCTCATAATAATCTCTTATTATTGTTTGTAGTTCTGCCGTGTTGGTTGTGATCTCTCCTCTTTCATTCTTTTTTAAAAATTTTCTTAACGTTTATTTTTTGAGAGAGAGAGAGAGAGAAAAAAAAAAGAGAGAGAGAGCACAAAGAGGAGAGGGAGACACAGAATCTCAAGCAGGCTCCAGGCTCTGAGCTGTCAGCATAGAGCCCGACGCGGGGCTTTAACTCACAAATTGTGAGATCATTAGCTGAACCAAAGTCTGTCACTTAACCTACTGAGCCACCCAGACGCCCCTCTCCTCTTTCATTCTTGATTTTTTTTATTTGGGTCCTTTTCTTTTTGATCAAACAGGCTAGAGGTTTATCAATATTGTTCATTGTTTCAAAGAACCAGCTCCTGGTTTTACTGATCTGTTCTAATAGTTTTTTGCTTGTTTGTTTGTTTGTTTAATTGTTTCGATAGCCTTGATTTCTGGTCTAATCTTTATTATTTCCTGTCATCTGCTGGTTTAGGGTTTTATTTGCCGTTCTTTTTCCATCTCTTTGAAGTGTAAGGTTAGGTTGTGTATCTTAGACCTTTCTTCCTTCTTTGGGAAGGCCTGGATTCCTATATACTTTCTTCTTATGACTGATTGCCTTTGCTGCATCCCAAAGGCTTTGGACTATGGTGTTTTCATTGGCTTTGATATACTTTTTAATTTTCTCTTTACCTTCTTAGTTAGTCCATTCATTCTTTAGTAGCATGGTCTTTAGTCTCCAAGTATTTGTTATCTTTCCACACTTTTTCTTGTGGTCGATTTTGAGTTTCATAGTGTTGTAGTCTGAAAATATGCACAGTATGATCTCTTTTTGTACTTGTTGAGGGCTGATTTGTTTCTCAGTATGTGATCTATTCTGGATAATTTTCCATCTTCACTAGAGAATATTGTGCATTCTGCTGCTTTAGAATAAAAATATTCTGATATATCTGTTAAGTCCATCCGGTCAGTATATCATTCAAAGCCATTTTTTCCTTGTTGATTTTCTGTTTAGATGATCTGTCCATTGTTGTAAGTGGGTGTTGAAGTCCCCTACTATTATCGTATTTATCAATGAGTTTATGCTTGTGATTGATTTATATATTTGGGTGCTATCACATTTGGAGCATAAATGTGTACAATGGTTAGGCCTTCTTGGTGGGTAGTCCCCTTAATTTTGATACAGTGCCCTTCATCTCTTGTTACAGTCTTTATTTTAAAACCTAGATTTTCTGATATAAGTATAGCTGCTCCAGCTTTCTTTTGGAGACCATTAGTATGATAGATGTTTCCCATCCTCTTATTTTCAATATGAAGTTGTCTTTAGGTCTGAAATAGGTCTCTTGTAAACAGCATGTAGAGGGATCTTGTTTTCTTATCCATTCTGTTATTCTATGACTTTTGATTGGAGCTTTTAGCCCATTGACATTTATAGTGAGTACTGAAAGATAAGAATTTATTGCCATTATGTTTCCTGTAGAGTTGGAGTTTCTGGTAGAGTCCTCTGGTCCTTTCTAGTCTTTGTTGCTTTTGGTCTTTTGGTATTTATTTATTTATTTATTTATTTATTTATTTATTTATTTTTTTTTATTTTTTATTTTTCATCTTTTCTCCCCTGAGATCCCCCCTTAAAATATCTTCTCAGGGCTGGTTTAGTGGTCACAAACTCCTTTAATTTTTGTTTGTCTGGGAAACTTTTATCTCTCCTATTTTGAATGACATGCTTACTGGATAAAGAATTCTTGGCTGCATATTTTTCCAATTCAGCACCTTGAGTATATCCTGCCACACCTTTCTGGCCTGCCAAGTTTTTGTAGATAGGTCTACTGAGAACCTGACCTGTCTTCCCTTGTAGGTTAAGGACTTTTTTCCCTTGCTGCTTTCATGATTCTTTCTCTTCCTGAGTATCTTGTGAATTTGACTATGATATTCCTTGTTGATAGTTGGTTTTTGTTGAATCTAATGGGAGTCCTTCTGGATTTTGATGTCTGTGTCTTTTTCCAGTAGGAAAGTTTTCTGCTATAATTTGCTCACATAAATTTTCTATCCCCGTTTCTCTCTCTTTATCTTCTGGAACCCCTATGATTTTGATGTTATTCCTTTTTAATGAGTCACTGATTTCTCTGATTTTTATTTTGTGTTCTTTTGCCTTAGTCTCCCCCTTTTTTTCTGCTTCATTATTCTCCATAAGTTTGTCCTCTCTGCTCTGCCTTATCCATCCTTGCCACCATGGCATCCATTCGAGATTGCAGCTCATTTATAGAAATTTTTTTTTTAATTTCATCCTGATTAGCTTTTACTTCTTTTATCTCCACAGAAAGAGATTCTAGTCTGTTTTCAAATCCAACTTGTATTCTTATTATTGTGATTCTAAATTCTGGTTCAGACATCTTGCTTGTATCTGTGTTGATGAAGTCCCTGGCTGTCATTTCTTCCTGTTCTTTCTTTTGGGGTCTATTCATTAATCATTTTAGAGGACGAAAAGGAATTAATAATGTGAAAAAAAATTAAAATTAAAAAATTAAAAACAACACAAAAATATCAAATAAAGGGGATGCTAGATCCTAGGTGTGTTTTGGTCTGGTTGTTGAAAGAAGCTTGATAAATTAGAGAAAAAAGGGAACAATAAGAAAAAAAGAAAAAAGAAAAAAGGAAAATGTTTGAATATTTGAAAACTGAATGCCATCAGATAGAATAAAATGAAATGATGACAGTAAAATAGAATTTCAATATTTACAAAACAGTAAAAACATATAGTAGAACAGAAAAAATCTTTTTAATAAAAATGGTAAATAGAAATAGATTTTTTTCTCTTTCTGTATTCAGGAATAAGAAAAAAAGAAAAGAGAAGAAAAGAAAAGAAAAGAAAAGGAAAAATAAGAAATTGAATAAAAGGACCAGCAAATAGAATGAAGTTTGATTGAAATTACATCTGGTTTCCCTTAGAAGTCAAGCTATGAAGTACTTTATAGTCGTAAACTAAGCAGCTGGAGAGACGTGTTTGTCAAGAGCGCTGTTGACCCATTTGGGAGGGGTTTAGTGTAATGGTTCCACTCTCCACTAGATGGCGATGCTTAACTTACTGGAGTAGATCGCTGTGGTGTGTGTAGGTGTGTATGCGCACGCACCAGTGAGGTGAAAATGGCATCATCCAGCTATCCAGTCTCTAGTTTTCGAACTCTGTGCTCTCCACGACTGGCAATCAAGCACCCCTCCTTTGTCTCTGGCTTCCATCCACTCCTGGCTTCTACACTGTGACCAAGGCATCGGGCTGCCAGGCCGCACTTCCTCCTGCGTTTTATCTGAAATGGAGCTGTGTTTCCCGACCCCTCACTTCTGAGGGACTGTGGCTTTGACCCACTCAGATCTTCTGGGCGAGGGTGTCGCTGAGCAATGGCTGGGTGCCTTCCTACCCCCGGGAACTTTCGCAAGACCGTGCTGCTGCCAATGCCCAGAGACTGCGGCTGGGTGCCAGCCCACCCCAGAAAAAGTTCCTGCCATCTTGTAGCAGCAGCGTTTCAGGGTTTTTGGAAAAATCACAACACACCTCTGGTGCCAGGTTTCACCCTTAACGTCCTTTTTCCAGCACTAGTGAATGTGGTTGTTCTCAGGGGTCTGCTGGGATCTTTTTCTGTGGAGTAGCTGCACAGCCTCTACCAAGTGTCCTCCCAGCAGGGGAACTGGCTCTCCCTGTGTAGCCCTTGGACCTCGCAGTCTGCTCCTGAGGATTCGCCCTTCCCACCAGAGCACCACCAGGTATCGAGCTGCGGAGTTTCAGAAAATGTGCTCCCCCTGTTTATAGAGTGTTAATGGAATTTAAACCCTCTCCTTTCTCCTTTCTCCCTTTTAAGTTCCATCCCTGCGGCTGTTTCCACTTTTCCACTTTCTCTCCAGCTGCATTCAGGCGGGGGGATGCTTTCCTGTGCTCTCCCCCCATCTCCGTCCTCTCCACAAGCAAAACCAGCTCCCTGTCCTCCGTGGTTTCTTTCTCCCCCATTCACCTCTCTGCACTGCGTACTTGCCGAGTTCTGTGGTTCAGGTTGTGCAGATTGTTGTGTTAACCTTCAAATCAGTTTTGTAAGTGTGCAGGATGGTTTAGTGTTGATCTGGCTGTATTTCAGGTGTGAGAGAAGCAAAAAAACTTCCATTCTGTTTCGCCACCTTGCCCCCCTAGTTTCCCCGTTGGGTCATATTTTAAACAAATCCCTTTCTTATATCTCTCCTCAAGATCACTAAATGAAGAACAAAAACTATTGGGTCCATTTCAAAGCACTCTAAAATGGAATTGAACTTAGGCTTTCTTCTCAAAAAAAAAAAAATAGTGAGCTAGAATAAGGTCTTCCTTAAAACATCAGTCAGTACAATTGCTCTCAGTATTTTTTATGGGAGATTTTTTTAAAAAACACTGGTAGGGAGTTAAAATAAAGAAAGGTAGTTTTCCAGTCGCATGATCATATTGCTCTCATCACTTGTGTCTTTGTATCAAACTCTCCTCTTTCTTGGTCTGGGTACTTTCTGCCTTTGACTACTTGATGCCGATCCTCTAGCAAGGTCAGCTGCTGAGCACACAGCGTTAGCCATCGTCCCCACACCTTGACCATCAGCCCCTTCCCTCTTCTGACAGGTGAGCTTTCGTCTACCCCACAGCCTGCATTTGCCAGGCAGGAAAAAAATGACTCTTCAGATATGACAGGCAGAGAAGCTGCCACTTATATTGAGTGCACTTTGAGTCCTTAGAGGAAAGCAAGGAGACTCTAGGTGAGGGGAAATCCTGCTTGTGGTTTTGCTGCTAACTTAGATGACTGTTTATCCTTCATCTTCATGGCTGTTGCCTTTTTCATTCAAATAAACGGGTGTAAGAAAAATAGTGTGAGCTAGATCCTGAAGGTTAAAATATTTTTTCCTCATTATAGCCTCTGTTTTCTTTTTCCCTGTCTATTAAATTTAAAACAATTTTACTATGAAGTGAAGTGGACTTCTGACAACACCCTGAAGTTTGAATTGTTTATTATATTATATTTTCTTCTGCATTAGTGCTAGCTCCTGTGTAACTATGCCTGCAGGGAAGGAGATACTACTCAAGCAAGCATTGTTATTATTCGAGGTTATAATATATCCCTTTTATGGGTTATTTTGCATTTCTCTCCCAAAGATAATAGCAATATAAGTTTGAAATATTTTTTTAGAAGAAGCTCCTATTTGCCGTACATGGTGAAAGGAAGAATTCTACTCGCACTGGTCACTCTGTTATATTTGCAGTCACATTCACTCAGCAACTTCATTGGAAGTTTGGCTTAGTTTACTGATATTTTCTCTTAATGATTTAAATGAGAATAAGGTGAGCATGAAATATGGCAGGAAATGTGGTTTGCGCTTACTGAGAGGAGTGTGAAATTCTGTTGCATTTCTGATATTTCCTTGCCTGCTAGAGCATAGGACAAAGTATACCAGACTAAAAGGTGCAACAGGCCTGAGAATTAAGAGATAGTTCTAGCCCCTGTCTTTCCACGACCTTGCCCATGAGCACAGTCATTTCACTTCATCACACTTGAGACTATCTATAACATAAATTGAGGGATCAGCTATTTCTAAAGCCTTTCTCAGAAATAAAAATATTGGGGTGCCCAGGTGGCTCAGTTGGTTAAGCATTTGACTCTTGGTTTCAGCTCAGGTCGTGATCTCACAGTTCATGAGTTCAGGCCCGCATCAGGGTCTGTGCTGACAGTGTGAAGGCTGCTTAGGATTCTCCCTCTCTACCCCTCTCTTTGCCCCTGCCCCACTCATGCTCGCTCTCTCTCGCTCTCTCTCGCTCTCTCTCGCTCTCTCTCTCCTTCTCAAATAAATAAACTTAAAATATTTTTTTCAAATAAAAACAAACAAAAAAAAAGAAATAAAAATATTGCCTAGCAGTGTCAAGCGTTTAAATTGTGACAGATCCTTGCTTGGGAAAATGAATGTATGATTAAAAGGTTATCGGTTAAATAACTTCAACTATGATTTTCCATATCTCTAAAAAACAGAATCCTGTGTGGAAACGTAAATAAGATGAATTTGCCATAAATGTATGAATCATAGTTCTGGCCATCAGTACTATTTTTACTTGAGATAGTTAAACTGAGTTGTCATCACCCCAATGTCAAGCCACCTGTCATATTATTTCGGTGATGGGAGTGAAATATAGTGTGCTAGGTGAAAATAAAGGGAGTATAAACATTTGGACAATAAATATAAATGTCACTGTGACTGGGCCATAGAGTGCCCAGATATTTGGACAGACATTATTCTGGTGTTTCTGTGAGGGTGTTGTTGGATGAGTTTCACATTTAAATTGATCGAGTAAAGGGGAGCCTCAGTGGCTCAGTCAGTTAAGTGTCTGACTCTTCATTTTGGCTTAGGTCATGAGCTCATGGTCATGGGATCAAGCCCCGCACTGGGCTCTGCACACAAAGTGCAAAACCTGCTTGGAATTCTCTCTCTCCTTTCTCTCTTCCCTTCTTTACTCATGCACTGTCTCTCAAAATAAATAAACATTAACTTGATTGAGTAGATTGCCCTCCCTATAATGTAGGTGGACTGCACCCAATCTATTATTTGAATAGAATAAAAAGGTTGACCCCTCTCCAACTAAGAGAGCATGACTGCTTGACTGCCTTCAAAGTGAAACATCAGTTTTTTCCTGCCTTCAGACTCAAACTGAAATATTGTCTCTCAAGGTCTCGAGCCTGCTTTTCAGTCTGGAATTACACCATGGACTCTCCTGTTTCTCAGACCTTGTACTCAAGACTGGAATTATATCACTGGCTCTCCTAAGTCTCCAGTTTACTGAATCATCCTGAAGATGTTGGGACTTGACAGACATAATCATGTGAGTCAATTCCTTATAATAAATTTCTATTTATTCTAATATATTCCATATTTTAGAACATATTATGCATATTACATATGCATATATATATTTATTGTATGTATATGTGTATTTAGATCCTATTGGTTCTGTTTCTCTGGAGAATCCTAATATAATGTTTGAAGATCATATATGCAGATAAAAAAAAAGACATTCATATATTTTCAAAACTCCTCTAGGGGCGCCTGGGTGGCGCAGTCGGTTAAGCGTCCGACTTCAGCCAGGTCACGATCTCGCGGTCCATGAGTTCGAGCCCCGCGTCAGGCTCTGGGCTGATGGCTCGGAGCCTGGAGCCTGTTTCCGATTCTGTGTCTCCCTTTCTCTCTGCCCCTCCCCCGTTCATGCTCAGTCTCTCTCTGTCCCAAGAATAAATAAACGTTGAAAAAAAATTTTTTTTGAAAAAAAAAAAAAAATCCTCTAGGGTATTAAGCCCAAAAGAGACAGTGAATTGGTACTATTTGTTGTGGTTTTCCCTTGATTCCTTATGAGAAATTTTAGGCTTGCCTGATTCCTTCATAACCCAGGAATCAAATATCTAAGAAAGATAGCAAATTAGTCCTTCACACAGGCAATGTTGAGCCATTGTGTGGTCACTTTTCAACTTAGCTTTTCTGTTATGACAAAAGGACAATGCAGACTGATTATGCCATTATCCCTCATTGTGTGCCTTCAGGCTGGATGGCAATTTGGTACAACTGTGCAGTTTGTCTTTAGAGTTTAATATCTGTCATGTGGCCTTACTGGGAAACACAACTGTGCATGTGAATGAAAGTGAGTCAGAGGATGTGAGTGGGAATATGTTTGTGGCTTCACTTTTAGAAATCCTGAAAGGTATTCTAAATTTATTGACTCTTCTCTGCCTTTTTCTGAAAGATATGGATAAATCAAGATAAGAAGATTAAGGGATAAGGAAGGAGTAGTCAGAAAAAAAGATATTTTGGTACGTCTACTGCAAAAGTAGCCGTGGAGTACATTTTCAATTGTTGAATAAGTAACATTGGACTATTCTTCATTGCTCCTATCCAGGAGGCTAAAAGGGCTGAAGTTTGAAAGGAAATATTTTGGAGTACAATAATCCCCTACCTTCATAGAAAAGTTGTTCTCAAATTGCTATCAGTGGAACCCCTAACATTTTTGAAAAGGAAAAAAGTCATATTTTCTCACGTTAAATGGGTGACTCTAGAGCACAATCTAATCAGCAAATCACATCAACTAGTGGTTGTATGTTTTATGTCAAGAGTGAAATGCTGAATACCTGTAATGTTTTGCTGTCACAGCATTGACACAGAACAGTAGGAAATGAGCTCCTGACTTTAAATACAGAAATAGTTAGTCTGGCATACTGATCTTTTAGAAGGGGACCCTAAACCACTGATGAATTAGAGATAAGAATTGACCCTTGGAAAACATAGAGACATATATTTATTATAATTTCAGGACCGTTATGCACCGAGAAGTAACCACAGCTATAGCAGCTGTAGTATATGCCGCAGAATGAGAAAAGACAGTGGAAGGTCATGGGTACTCAGCACAAATGGTAGTCTCCCCAGTGTGAAGCAGTAACATCTAAGATAGCTTCTGCACCTGGCCAAGAGAGGGGTAAGAAAAATCCCCTGGGAATCTAGGTCCAAAAGGTCAAACTTCTTGTAATTAATATAAATAAATAAATCAGTCAGTCAATCAATTTGTTCTTCACTAAGGGGACTCTCCAGCCAGGCAAGTGGGATGTGATGCATCATTCTGGCAAATGTGACCCCAGCTGTCATGACAGCCCTTGGGCAGCTGCTGCACTTTGGAAAACATGCTGTGACACTGTCACCAGGAATTCAGTAAGTGCAGAAGTATTTCCTGGAAAATGTGGATGCACACAATTAAGTGCCAAGGAGCAGACTCAGCCCGAGAGCAAGGTGCAAACCTGGAACTAATGACCATTTAGGTTAAAACATTGGACATAATGGCCAGTGTTAGACAGGTCACATGGTATGGCTTGTGAGCTGTGGCAGATCCTGGCACAGGAACCCATACATTCAATCAATAAATCCCTGTGCTTCTGAGACAGCCACCTGAGCTCTTCTATTTTCTTTCAGGACATCCTGCATGGTCCCATTTTGTAATCTGGGTTTCTTAAACTTCTTTCCTATCTAGCCTGTTAAAGAAGCAGTTAGGCATTTGCTGAGAACTTCTGAGCCCAAAAATCAGTGAAAGGATATTCACATGGTTTCAAGGTATCACCATACATAGTATTTATCCATTACAAAGGCGGAAACTCAGATACAATTCACGTAAATATTAGTGACACAATTTTACATAGTCTTACAAGCAATAAGACAACCCAGCACACTGACTTTATATTTGCAATGAGGTGATGCAACAAAAATTCCTGTCATCATCTATGTAGTCTTCTTACCAAAAGGTTTAAAATTGAATTTAAACATGAGAAAACAGACAAATACAGATTGCTAAATATCTTATAATACAGTTAGTTCTAAGCAATCAGACAAATCTAGAATGTAGGATATCCTACATTGCAATTGGCCAAGACTTTTCAAAAATATCAATGTCATGGAAAAAAAAAAAAAGTAGAAGAATTCTTGCAGATTAAAGGAAAATAAAGAGACATGACAATCAGATAAAATGCACAAACTTGTTTACCAGAATGGAAGAAAAAAAAGGTATAAAGATATTTGGGGGGTGATTGGTTATATTTGACTGTAGAAATTAGAAAATGATTTGAACAATGTTAAATTTATGGAGTGTGAAACCAAATAACATGAAAAAGACCCAGAGGCAGTGCATTCAGAACACCATCATGAGAGTGAAGCCCTTAATGGCCACAGACTTTTCTCATGCAGAGACCTTTCTGATCAGTCTCTGCTATTATTAGAATAGTTTCTCCTGCCACCAGGTAAAGGGATCATCTCGGAGTTTTCTCGCAGAGAGAAGAGGACCAGATTCAGGTTGCTTGGACCCTGCGACTTACACAATTTTGAGAGCCCTTTTAAACACAAGGATACAAAATTATGAATACACAATTAGGTAAAACATTAAATATTTACTTAGGGGGCACCTGGGTGGCTCAGTCGGTTAAGCATCTGACTCTTGATTTCAGCTCAAGTCATGATCTCAGGGTTCGTGAGTTCGAGCTCCATGTCAGGCTCTGTACTGACAGCAGGGAGCCTGCTTAGAATTCTCTTTCCCTCTCTTTGCCCCTCCCTGCTCACTCTCTCTCTTTCAAAGTAAATAAATTAAAAAAAAATTTAAATATTTACTTAGAATGAGAAGCAAAATCTTTAAAGTTACAAACTAAAGCAAATAAAATACACCCATTTTCCTAAATATTACCTTGAAATGGATCCCGTAAGAAAATTTTTCATGAGTGCACTAAGGAACAACACCTAAGCGAGGCAGGACTGCGGGGAGAGAGGGGGATGGTCTGGAGTGTGGTTCACCTATAACAGAGGCCATGGCAGGCACCACCAGAGCTCTGAAACTGGAATGGCCTTTCAGCATTGTCCCCTTGTCAGGCAAGAGGTAATGTAGCCAGGCCTTTGTACCTTACTGGTTTTAGATGTTGGGTGCCCCTTGGACAGGGCAGCTCCCTTCAGGCAGAGCAATTCTAGTAGATGCTGCCTCTGTGAGCAAACCGTAACCAGTAACCCCAGCAGTAGGAAATATGAGGGTTTCTGTTCCACAAGAGGGATCTGGGGATTGTACCTCCATATACTCTACAACCCAAAACAACACAAAATTCAGAGCAGAAACCAATATATATTTTTTATTAATTAATTGTCTAGATTTTATAATACAATATTTTCCTTTATTTTTAGGTTACACACTTTGACTTTTCTTTATTTGCCAACAATGTGTAATATTTTTCCCCCTTAGAGACAAGAAGAAGATAAGTTTGTCTTACTTTTAGGAGAGCTGTTCAACATTATAGTTTCACTACTTAAATATTTTTCTTGTAATTTGGAAAATTATTTGAGAATTTGGACACATCTATCAAGTTTCTTTCTTATATGAACTCAAAGATTTCAGATATTTAGAGATGTCTTAGGCAGTGACTAAGATTAAATGCTGTTTGTAATGATGATGCTCATTCATCACTCAGTATTCAAATATTACTTTTAGTGAGGGTTATGAATTTTTAAAGAAAATATTTATTCATTTTGAGAGCAAGAGAGCATGAGTGAGGGAGGGACAGAGAGAGAGGAAGAGAGAGAATCCCCAGCAGGTTCCATGCTTCCAGCACAGAGACTAACATGGGACTCAAACCCATAAAACCATGAGATTATAACCACCCCAGGTGAACAAAGGGTTATGAATTTTATGTTGGGCCCTACACCTACATTCAGAACATAAAGGAATAGGCACACTGGTGGTAGTAATATTCTGGAAGCTATTTTGACACTGCGGTGAGCAATAACTTAACTATAGATGGAAATGACTACAAAGCACAGCTATAGACATCTCACTAAACACTAATTAAATTTATCTTAATTGCATCTCCATAATGTCTGCGGTTACTCAGAGGCAGCCCATGCATAAGGGCTGGTATAAGTGACAGCTCCAAAGCTGAAGCCTCATTAGTTTCAAGGTAAATCGGCTTCTACCCCCAGGTTCATAACTTTCTGAGATTTCTGTCTCTTCATTATTCCTCTACCCCATGATGCTCGCCACTGCCCTTCACACACAGCCTACACAGTAAACAAACTACCAAAGTGCAACAGAACCTTGCCATTACAAACTTAGTAATGGTAAGTGAAATATGAAAATGTAAAGTTTCCCAGATCCCCATGACGCTAGCTAAAGCGTTACACAGTTTCCATTAGGTACTTCCTTAGCCATCTGTCCAGCCCCTCCTATATACCCAAGTTCCTTTCATGTGTCCTTTTCATTTAGGTCACAATTACACTTTCCCTCCAGGGCTATCGCTGTTTCTCGGATTCAGCTATTATCTA